GCTGGCGGGGCGTTCCCGCGCCCCCTTTGGCTGGAGCCTCTGGGCCATGGTGTGGGGTGGGCCCAGGGAGGCTGGCTCAGACTCATCCCTGATGCACCTGTCTGTGATCTCTGCAGGAGCTGCCAGCCCCGCTGAGGAAGGGACCATCTCACCCCGACACTGTATTTTCATAAAGGAACGTTGTGCAGCATCTCTGGTGCCATTGTGGTTTGTGTGTGGGCTGGGGAGGGGAGGCTGGTTTGCTCTTTCCAGATCTCTAAGCTTTTTGCCCTAGTCCAGAGCAAAAAGCTTTAGGAGGTTTTTCAGGAAGTCTCCAGCCCCAGCACACTCTCTGAGCCACCTGACTCTGATCCCCCGCAGCAGGGTGCATCCTGTACCATCCCTTAACCCCACTTAGGGCACCTTGATCCACTGTCCCTCTGCAGCAAGGCTTAGCTTGCTAACCAGGGTGCTTTGGGCTCGCCTGGGGTAGAAATCTGTCCAAACAGCTCCACAAGGAAGCTGTTTCAGCTCTTGCCCTGTTATGCAGGGTGCCGAGCAGGATTTTATAGTGCAGTTCTGACTGCCTGAGTGCCCCTTACAAACCAGTGAGACCAGTTTTACTGCCTAGTACCAAGCTAATGATGAAAGGGAAAATATACGCTATTTTTTTCCCTGTGATCTCTTTTTTTCCCCTGAAGCGGCTGTGCTCAAAGAAGGAGAAACCTCTTCCAGAGCTGATTTTGACCATGGAGGAAAAGTCCTTGAGAAAGGTGCTATAAAAGCTACCTGTTCCCTTTTACAGACCTTTCCTCCCTGCTTCAGGGAAAGCATGGGGGAGCTGGGTTAGCCATGCCCACTGGCTCTCAGCCCAGCCTGCCTGGCAGAAAGCCCATAACCATCCCACACCACAGACCTGTTCCTCTTCATTTATTTTGCTGTTTACACAGCCCTGAGTTGAGCAGAGACATGTGGGAGGTGCTCCCCTCCCCTATTCCCAGCCCTGAAGGCTACACCGCACTAACCTGTACCTTGCTGACATGGGAACACCGGAGCTGCCTTTGCCCAAGCTGCTGCACGGTGCAGAAGGATGAGCTAAAAGCTGCGTGGGGGGACCGAAGCCAGGGCTGGTCCTCAACCCAGCACAGCTTTGGCACAGTTGTGGGACCTGGAGCACGGCAGGCTTTTGAGGTTGCAGAGACCAGGTCCTTGGTCTTGTTTCCAGCCTGCTCTGAGGTGCCCCAAGAGAAGGGCATGGCTTAGAGGGACAGGAGCCAGTGCTGCTCTCAGTGCCAGGCGGGTGGGCTGGCCGGTGCGCACTGCTGTCCTTGTGCTGGGGCTACAAGTCGGAGTCACAAGGCAGGGTGCTCCTCCCGTGTCGTCCGTCTCGCTCGTCCTCCAGCACGTCCCAGGGATTGCGGTAAGCCCCAGTGATGGAGCATGGCCCAGCCTCCAGCACAGGGCTGGGGGGCAGTTTGGGGGCCCTGCGCTCCTTGCAGCAGTGGTGGAAGCTGAGGGCGAGGGCCAGCCCCCCCAAAATCTCCAGACAGCTTCCCAAGTAGCTCAGCACCAAGCTGTAGCCTACAACCAGCGTGCTGCCAGCCGGTGCGGGCAGTGCCCACAGCTCATGG